AAGCCCTAGGTTCAATTCCTCCCCATATATGTAGAAAAAGCTGGAAGTGGCACTGTGGCTCAAGTGGTAGAGTACTAGCCTTGATCAAAGAAGCTAGGGACAGTGCCCAAGCCTAGAGTTCAAGCCCCAAGACTGGCAAAAAAAAGGTGTGTGGGGGGGGGGGAATATTTTGAGGCTTGCAGATACAAGATGTAGATAAAGACATAGCATGCAGATACAGGATACAGACAAAGAAGTTCCTAAAGGGAAATACATAGCTTTTCAGCATTACATTTCAAAAGATCAGGGCTGGGAATGTGGCTTAGTGGTAGAGTGCTTTCCTTGCGTGCATAAAGCCCTGGATTCAATTCCTCAGTACCACATAAACAGAAAAGGCCAGAAGTGGTACTATGGCTCAAGTGGTAGAGTGCTAGCCTTGAGCAAAAAGCTCAGGGACAGTGCCTGGTCCCTGAGTTCCAGCCCCAGGAATGGCAAAAATAAAAAGATTCGCATGGGCTGGGAAGGTGGCTCAGTGGTAGAGCTCTTGCCTTACATGCATAAGGTCTTGGGTTCAATTCCTCAGCACCACATAAACAAAAAGAAAAAAGCCGGAAGTGGCGCTGTGGCTCAAGTGGTAGAACTCTAGCCTTGAGCTGAAGAGCTGAGGGACAGCGCCCAGGCCCAGAGTTCAGGCCCCACGACCGGACCCAAACAAAACAAAACAAAAAAAAAAAGATTAGCAGTGACTTAACCTACCTGGAGACACTTGATATATAAGAGAAAGATAAGGCAAAAAATGGCACAAGTCTGAGATGGAATGGAAACAAGGCCCAAATAGAAAAACTGTCCTTAAAGGAAGTCAGCTTGTCATTGTAACTCGATGTTAGTATGGGTGGCTTATGTGTTTCTGTAGCAATACATGAACCACGTTCTACAGGAACCAAGGGTGAATACAGTCATAAAATTCAATGTACATATGTGAAAATGTAACCAGGTAGCTTGAGGGGGATGGGTGGGGCTGGGAGAAACGGAGGAAAATGAGGGAAGGGGTGACTTTAATCAAGCTGTGTTCTATTTATAAACTGATATGCTGAATTGAAACTCCTTTGTAAAACTAAAGGTAATTCTTAAATGTGTTAGAGGGGGACTAAGTAAATATATCACACTTTCTGCAATTATCAGCCAGTATTCTGAATAATTTCTCCTATTCTCCCTCCCTTCATCTCCCTTTTTCTCCCCACTTTCCTTTCTCATTTTTCCTCTCCTTATCTTTTTCTTCTCCCTTCTTTTTAACTCTCTTCCCTCTTCTTTTCCTCTCTCTCCTTTCCTCCTTCCTTCTCCCTTCCCTTTCCTCTTTCTACACCCTCTGTCTTTCTGTTTCCCTCTCTCCTCCCTCCCCCTACTTTGTCTCTTCTCTGCCCACCCTCTACCATGAGCAGCTATTTCTTTGCCTGCTTTTGGGTCACAGAGCGCTTATAGCCCTGTCCTTACAGCCTAACTTGTACTCATTTGTCAAACCACTGACAATGATTATCCAAAAATAGATGTTTATGGGGCTGGGAAGGTGGCTCAGTGGTAGAGCGCTTGCCTTGCATGCATGAGGCCCTGGGTTCAATTCCTCAGCACTACATAAGAAAAAAGAAAAAAGCTGGAGTGGCACTGTGGCTCAAGTGGTAGAGCGCTAGCCTTGAGCTGAAGAGCTGAGGGACAGCGCCCAGGCCCAGAGTTCAGGCCCCACGACCGGACCCCCCAAAAAAAAAATAGATGTTTACTCCAAGAATGGAAAGTAAGGGAGAGGGAGAACATATTCCATGATCTAAAATTTTATACCCAAAGAGCAAGAGAGGAGGTTGAAACAAAGAGAAGCCAACAAAGTTTGCTGGTGCTGTCTTTGACCTTTTCTATAAACCTGGAATTCAAGTTCAGGAAGATGGAGCATTGGAACTTTAAAGAAAATAAAGAGCTGAAATCATGTTTAGGTAGAATGATTAGTGAGTCCTGTGGACAAGTAACAACCAGATACCAAAAATGTTAGGTTTGTTGAGGATCCATTTGAGAGTGGTAATGCATTTTTTTTGAGGCAAGGTCTTACTGTATACAGCTCAGGCTGGACTCAACACCCCTCTTCCTCATCCTCTCAAGTGCTAGGATTACAGGGATGCATTGCCACACCTAACAGTAATTATGAATTCTTTATATAATTGTAAAGATTCTGTACAGAGGGGTTACAGTTACATGGTAAGGTAATGAGTACATTTCCTCTCGAGCATTGTTACCCCCTCCTTTGTTTTTCCCCTACCATCCCCTCCCTTCCCACCCACTCCCAACTCCTCCCTCCCCCTCACCCAAAGTTGTGAAGTTCATTTTCAACATAATGTCTTGTGCATCTCATTAACTAATTATGAATTCTTATGGGAACTTCTTCAGCTTCATGTGGTTCTGTGTGTGAAGACACAGAAAAATACAAATGTTTTTATTTGGTATAGAGTTAGGGATAGAATAATATAAATTCAGGGGGCTCTGCTATTGAAATGATCAGCCATGATCAATAGTCTGACAAGGAAAATGCTAAAGAAAGGGTAAAAACACAAGGGCCAGTGAGCCAATAGAGAGGTCATGACCAGGAGGTGTAATGTCAGCTCTGCGAGGGGCAGGGAAATCATTTTGTTTAGAGTCAGTTCAAAGTGGACCCCTGGGCAGTAATTTAATAAGCAAGCCAAACCAGGAGAATTTGAGGTTAGACTTGGATGAGTGACAGAGGATGGACAGAGGATGAGTGACAGACACATGGACATGTGTCTGGCATGTATGTGCAGTAAGGTCTCATTAACTATTAGCCTTTATTATTACGCTTTTTAGACGTGGATAGAAACTATGTATTTTCATAGAAAGAGTTTAGAACCAACTTGATCATTTCTAAGTAAATATCTTTTAAGCCATTATAATAGATCCAACCTTCCTTTCGTTGGAATAGTTAAACAACAGTAATGCAAATGAGCTTCCTTTCCAAATGAGCCTAACTGCAGAGACCTCACTTCCAGTGCATTCAGTTTTTTTCTATTATGCTTATCACTAAGGTGGACAATTTTATATCACTGAATCTTCTCCCATAAAGCATATAGGCAATTTAATGGTGTTTTTAAAGACCTTTCATAATACTTTTTGCCTAGGTCTGAAGTCACATTCAAAAATCGAGTAAGTGTTTATCAATGAAATGTTTACTAGAGGAGGCTAAAATGATCTAATTTTAAATGAATCAAAGGAGGTTATTTTGACTCTGAGAATTTGGACATACGGTCCTTCATGTCTTCAGGATGACTTGCCTGTTTTCAGGTATCTCATGCTTCATAATGTAATTCCTTGTGTAGGGTGGTTCATTACGAATTCTGTGCTGACTGGTGTTTGGTAACAAAATAAGTAGTTCTCTGCAGTGTCCTTCCCTCTCTCCCTTTATGGTAAATTTCTCTCCTGGTTTAGTTCAAATTTCACCTCTGAGAATCCCAGTTCTTTCAGTCAAAGCAAATAGGCCTGTTTGCTTTCCACAGTTCATATCTATTGCATTTGCATTATTTACTAGTACACCTGTTTCTCATTCCTGCTTTTACCTACCGAGAATAGAGGCTTCATCTTACTCCACTCTCTCCAGTGCTTTGTATGTGCCAGCAGCCTATGAAGTACTCCAGAATTGTCTCAGACATTGTACCCTGACCACAAGAAACTGAAGTGTGTAAGCATGTTATAGGGTCTGGCAGGGAAAGCTTTCTGTCAAGTGAACACTAAATTAGATCCAGCCAGATGAACTTAGAGGATGATAGCCTTTTTGCCTTATACCCAGTTTTTAAAAACTTCATTATTAAGGAGCTGTACAAAGAGGTTACAGTTCCAAAGCACAGGTTATAAGTTCAGTGCATCTTGATCAGTATCACCCTTCTATTATTCTCCTCCATTTCCCCCCTCCATGCCTACCCCTCAAGTTACACAGTTGAATTTTTATGTATTTTACATTGAGTATAATTGCTATTTGGTTTTTTTGTGCCTGTTCTGGGGCTAGAACTTGAGGGCTTAGGCACTGTCCCTGAGGGGTTTTTTTTTTTCAAGGCTAGTCCTTTACCACTTGAGCAACAGCTCTACTTGCGACTTCTTTTGGTAATAATTGGAGATAAGATTCTCACAGATGAACTGGCTTTGAGCTGCAATCTTCAGATCTCAGTAGCTAGGATTACAGGTATGAGCCACTGGCACTGGGCTTGTATTTTTTTAATTAAGAAAAGCATGTGGTACTCTCTGTTAAAGGCTCTCTGCAAATGGCTCTCAGGATGTTAGCAATAGCCATGTTTGGGAATATGCTTTTTTTAAATAAGTTTTTTTATTGTGAAAATACCCTACAGAGGGGTTACAATTACATGAGCAAGGTATATGCTTTTTAAATGCTTCTTGAGGTGTTTATTTCATTGCTTGAATTTGCCCTTTCAGGGTATGTATTTGTGTGTTTATGTGTGTGTGTGTGCATGTGTGTGTGTGTGTGTGTGTGTGTGTGTGTGTGTCTGTCTCTCTCTCTCTCTCTCTCTCTCTCTGTGTGTGTGTGTGTGTGTGTGTGTGTGTCTTGTCTGTCTATGGAGAGGGGACATTTCCAGGTTTTAAATTAGATGGTACGTGAAACTTAAAATTACAAGAAACAAGTGCTTTCAATGCAGTTAGGAACCAGTCGAGGCTGGTACTGAATCTCCATATGTGGTGTAGGAAAGCAATTTTTTATGCTCTAGATCAACTGAGTTTTATGAGTCCTAGCCCCCCACCTCAAAATAGCTTTCAGCATTGCTACATCCAGGAGAGGAAGGGAGGGGAGGATCAGCCAGCTGTCACCTGGCTCTACACACAGTACTTGCCTTGGCCAAAACTAGCCCTGAGGCCCCAAGCGTACTGGAACCTGGAGTTGGAAGTGTAGGGAAACACCTGGAATCTAGGATATCCTGAAAATCAATTGACTCCACCAACCTGACTGGATGCTTTTCATTTTTCAGTTACTGTAATGAATGTATGCTGGATCCAGACTGCGGTTTCTGCTACAAGATGAACAAATCAGCTGTCGTTGACTCTTCCTGCATTCCAGTTAACAAAGCATCTACCAACCAGGCCGCCTGGGGCAGGTATGTCACTATTGCTCACAGTGAAAACATATCATACAATTTCAAAATGAGGTACATATTTAAGTTTTCAGTGTGCAGTTTGCAGACATGGGTTTTTTTCCCTTTTTCTTTATTTTTCTGCAAGTACTAATAATGCCCACTCTCTATACAGAGCCTACTATGCTTGTCATTCATCTGTTTTGTGTATATTAGCTGTACCAAGGCAATTCATCATACTCTTATACACATGCATGTATTATATTTAAATCAGAATAACCCCTCTATTGATGTCTTTCTCCCATCTCCCTTCTCACCTACAGCTCTACTCCTTGAGATATGCTTTTTGCTGGTTATTTTGGAGATAGAATCTCTTGGACTTTTCTGTCTAGGGTGGCCTTGAGCAGTGATCCTGTAGCCTCCTGACCGAGCAGGATTACAGATATAAGCCACCGGTGCCTTTTAAAGTGATATTCACCACCACATTACCTAGCAGCAGATTCAGGTATAACAAGTGAGTCTAAGGTGTTGGCAACTGTGTGCCCTCAGGCCTGGACCTCTGGAGATCTAGATTCCAGAGCCAACTGTGCCTGCAAAGCAAGAGGAGTTTATTTTGAGGTGTTGGCAGGGCTAGCAACTGCCCTACCACTGACTTTTCATACCCAGCCAGCTTTAGAAGTTAGGATCTTTAGTTTTAGGAAGATGTTCTTAAAGATTGCTGAGATAATACCTTCCATTGAACCATTTACCCTATGATTTCCAACTGTAGTTTTCTGGACTTCAGTAAAAATCAATTGCAAAGTAAAAGTAAGTTAAAGTCCCTGTTAATTCTTTCATAGAACTGAGTTTTGACAGTCAATGAAAATAAGGAAAATAAGAATAAAAGTTCCTACATATGGGCATGCAACCTATCCAGAGGCCATAAGCTTTTGTCTCTGGCAGAATATGTTGAATTGTTTCATTGTGCAGTACTAGGGTTTGAACTCAGGATCTCAGACTTGCTAGGTAGCCACACTACCACTTAAGCCATGTCCTCAGTCTAGACATGTTTACTGTGAACACATAAATGAAATATTTGTACATAGTAAATTTATAAACTAATATTCATACCTAAAATGCCTAGATATTATTTACAATGGCTTTAACCTTTTGTGATTTAAATTCCCATGAGAGACTCTAATACACTCTGATCCTGTCTGCCTCCCAGTACTCAAAATGCTGTGTGCACCAAGTCAGGGACTTATGTCTTCTAGGAGCTTCAGAGTGTGATACATTGATATGAATCACTAGGTTTTATCACCAATCACTTTATTAGGAAATTAATCCAAAGATATGGAAGCAAATTTTATTTTACTTGAGCATACATCTAGACTGCATAGGAAATATAGTAATCACAAGGATATAGTACTTAAACTGCACACATGAAAGAATTCATTTTAAAGAGCTGATCAGCTCTTTTAATTATCAGTTAATTTCTTAATATTCTGGATGTCCTAGTTTACAGTTACAAACATTTAGGAGATGGAGCCACTAAACAGAGGTGGCAGGAAAGCCAATTCCTTCCAATTATCCCCTGCACCTCTGACATGCCACACAGACACAGACACATAGACTGACAGACAGACACACACACATATACACACACACACACACACACACACACACACACACACAAATTCAGGTTTAAGGTATGGTGGAACTGGAGAGAAATCCTCAAGAGTAACAGTGAAAGAGGTAGAGAAGTTATCTTACCTGTGATCCTGGGATGATCAGAAGAGGGCACAGGTATTTAGCATAAGAGTCTAGGGTGTCAGTGCCAGAGAGATAATGCACCAAGCCTTTCCTCTCCTGCAATGAAGTGATACCCAGGCTCTGGAATAGGGACAAGTCAAGGTTTACTTGATCAAGCTAGGCTGAGAACACCACTGATTTTTGCTATTCTCCAGAGATCACAACTGAAATTCTATCTCCCCTACAGAGGAAGACTAGGAGCTTTTGCTGTGAGGTTCCCATTGCATACTGCCTTCATATAGTACAATCACAAGTAAAAAACAATGTTGAAAATAAATAAGCAGAGCTGGGTGCAGTGACACATGCCTGTAGTTTCATCTACTCAAAAGGTAGAGGCTGGAGAATCACATGAACCCAGAAGTTCAGCACCAGCCTGATCATCATAGCAAGACTGTTTCATGAATGAATAAGTAAGTGAGTGAATGGTGGGTCCTAAGCTAGAGACATCCATAGATCCACCTCAGAAATAAACAGAATTGTCAGAACCCAGAATGCATGGGATTCCCATGGAAAGCTCCATTTTTGTTTTCCTTTAGTTTTTGTTAGACATGAACTCCCTATGTAGCCTAGACTGGCCTTAAACCTGAGCTCCTCCTACTGCCTCAGCCTCCTGAGAATTATAGCATGTGCCACCACACCCAGCAGAAAGCAGCTCTTGATAAATATGGGCAGATAGTCCAAAAGTATAAACTAAACCAATTAATTAAGGTGCAAAGTCTACTACATGTGACAAATAAGAGCAAATGAATACCTAGACAAACTGCATTCACAAAATAAGTGAAAGAGACAAGAATGTTATGTCATGTCTAACAAAAACTAAATGAAAACAAATCAGTGAGAAACAAGATGTCAAAATAAACAGCTAGATGAGTCCACAAGAATTTAGAATCAGGTTTGGGAAGGTGGCTCAGTGGTAGAGTGCTTGCCTTGCATGCATGAGGCCCTGAATTAGATTCCTCAGTACCACATGAGCAGAAAAAAGCTGGAAGTGCACTGTGGCTTAAGTTGTAGAGTGCTAGCCTTGAGCTAAAAAGTTGCCCAGAGTTCAGGCCCCACGACCAACAGAAAAAAAAAAAAAAAAAAGAATTTAGAATCAGGAGTTAATGTATGCCTGCAGAGTAGATAGAGGGTAGAAACACCTAAAGGTGAGCGTGGGGCTGGGGGTGGGGGGGATAATGAAGAAATGGAAGGATCAAAACACAAACCTGCTTCTCTTAGAGAATGTAGAAGCCTCTAAAAATATTGACCAAGAAGGGGGAAAAAAATGGAGACCAACTATTTACGATGAATATATGCCACAGAAAGGAGAGAACTTTCAAATTACCAGACAACACTAGGAATCATGCTCCCTGGACCACTTTATAGAAAGAGGATAGCTTTTCTAGAGTCAACCTGCAACCCCTGTGAAGTGTCCCCATTTTATGATGAGGACGGTGGTATCTGGAGTGGCTTCCTCATACAAACGGCCAGAAAGTCCATCTTTTCAAGAGCACCAACAGTTAAGTAATAGAAGGATGAATATTTTATAACAAGATCATTACAAATTGAGCTTACTTCATGGGTGGCCCTGGGACAGCCTGGATTCCTCTCCTGGAAAAGGAGCAAGAATATAATTGTTGGTTATATAATACAAATATGCTCGTTTAATAAAGACAAGGTCAGAGCATCTCTGAAAATAGCTGCTATAATGTAATGTTCCAGGGTGGGTTTTTCTTTTCTTCTTAGATTTGTCCATCCTATACTTTATAGATTACAATAAACATTTCCTAATACATAAATGCATTAGAACATTTTTTAATCTATCTGTGTCTGGTTATCCATACCTCCTAGCTCTCCATATATACTCAAAACCATTAAATACTCTAACCTGAGATTTCAAACCTCCTGCCTAAAAATACTGCTACTGAGGGACACTTTCTTAATGTGCTGGTTCAGTATTTGTTTCCTCTAATGTGGCCTGTTAGCTCTGTAATTAGAAACCCTAAAATAGCTGGATAAATTCCCTGTTTGGCAATTCATTGTTCTGAGCATTCTGTTGGCTGGGCTGTGAGAAGCAGAGTCTGTGTTCTCTATATTTTTCCTCCAGTCACATAGATTCTAATCAGTTCAAACCACTATCTGCATACCCATGGTACCCTTTTGCCTCCTAGGCTTCTACCTAAGACTGACTTCCTTCTTTTCCATCTCGACTGTGCCCACATCACAGGTCAATTTTTCCTTAAAGAAAACAATACTTATTGTATTGCCTCTTGTTCTCTAATGCTACCCTTATGTGGCATACTGTAAGAGATACATTCTGGCTATGAGATTAATGATGCTCAAGCAATGTCACTTGGACACTACCTGGTCCAGAAGCTCCCAGAAGACAAAACCACCTCAGCACAGATGGAGCTCTCAGAAACCTTGGCAAAAATGCCAGGCAGTGGTGGCTCATACCTGTAATCCTAGTTAATTAGGAGGTTAAGATCAGAGAATTGTGGCTTGAAGAAGCCTGGGCAGAAAAGTCCCTGATGAGACTCTATCTCCAATTAATTAGCAAAAAACAGGTTGTGGCTCAAGTGGTAGAATGCAGAGAGACAGTGCCCAGGTTCTAAGTACAAGCTTCAATACTAGCGCATATGTGCAAAGCCTTGGTGCAAAACTAACCCTGATGAGTATGCTAAGTCCACACTGTGCAAGACAGGGTGTAGCAAAGGGGAGACTAATTGCCCAAGCTTTGAGCATCATCTGAAGTGAAAATCTCCACACACAGTCCTGGGAGCCCTGGCTGCTCTGTCTCGTGTCCCCAGCCTGCTTCCACTGTCTGACTTTGAAACAATGCCAGAATAACCTGAGCATCATATAGTTGTTCATGACTTGTCTTTAATGTGAACTGAGCCAAAGGGGAAAAATAGCTGTTAGAGAAGCTCATTCAAACATCATTCATTCCTTAACTTACTAGGATATTTATTAGTATTCTATATCAGTATTAAAGTCTTATATTATTGTATGTTGAGTCACTGGCACCCAGCCTGGATTATTTTTTTTCAAGTACAGAAACCTAGACTCCCTTGGATTTAACTATTGTCTGTATTAAAGACTCTACTAGTTATGTTGCAGAGGGTACAAATTAGAAAATCAAAACATAGGGCTGGGAATGTGGTTTAGTGGCAGAGTGTTTGCCTAGTATGCATGAAGCCCTGGGTTTGATTCCTCAGTACCACATAAACAGAAAAAGCCAGAAGTGGCACTGT